ATCCCCACGATTGATGCCGATGCAAGAAGGACGATGCACCCCGGACGAAGGAGTTGAATAGGATGCCCATTCAACGTTAGGCATCGACCGGCGTCTGTCCTTAATGACTTAGTTAAGGTGGTCCCGAAAGAGTTCTTTCAAGTGTCGTCCGCAGTTGTCGGAGCTTCTTTGTGGGGAAACGAGCGGTATGGAGATGCAGCCGTCAGATTCTCCTCTCAAAAAAGCTTCCGACCGGCAGTTCCTACCGCTTCCTCGGGTGTCTCGTTCCTATCCGGGTCACGCAATCAGCAACTTTATCGCAGTTAAGCAGCAAGCCGACGAAGGAATCCCCCTCGAAGTTTCTCCCGAGGACGGTCGGACTACAGCGCCTGATGGACTGCTGCGCTTGTAGTCGTTGACTCTGCTGCTGGCAGCCGATATATTATAAATATCTCTGCCATGTTAGCAACAATCGCAGCCGCCTACGAACAACTGATGGTGATAACTCCTTGCCCGAGAATCAATGTTTCATTTCTCTCGTGTCCCCAGAGGTTTCCAGCGGCGGCGCCGAGCAAACCGTCAGGCAGACGATAGCGGGACGAGCTTCTCTTCAAAAAGTAAACTTTCTGGGCAAACGGGATCTCCTCATATATATTTTCCCAATTTTTCTGCCGTACAAACGAGCAGGCCCTTCCCTGATGAAGATCCGAAACCGCAGTTTATGCACGCGACCTCCATCCTATCGTATACTTACGCTGCGCGAAGTAGTATTGTAGCTCTCGGAGAAATCCTCCACAGTCTATTAAGTCGTTCCTAGGAATTCAAGTGTCAATTTTGATAATTATTATTATCTAGTCCTCCAAGATTTACTCATTATACATCACGGAGAAATGCGCTTCTTATATGATATGTATCGATGGATTATTCGCTCAGAAACGTCCCGATCGGCTCTACCGGCGACCTCCGAACCTTCATGGATATCGCGTCTTGTTACAGATAATCGAATCGTTCATCATCATAGTCTACACCGACCGGGGCTCCGATCCCCACAACATCCCCGTCGACTGGATATGGGCCATCACGGTGTCGATCTTCGCCATCGGTGGCATGGCGGGAGGATTCAGTGGAGGACTCGTTGCTAATCGCTTCGGAAGGTGAGTTGACTCTACAGGAGGGCAGGCCACTCAGCTATCCAGAGATGGTAAATCCACCCCCCTCCTCCCTTCTCGAACGTCTGGAATCGGGTTGGAACTTGAAACCATAATTGCAAGTGGATTTGCGGAGCCTTTCTCTCTACCGCGCCTCGGAGTGGCGGTTTGGCTGGAAGCGAGTCTGAAATAGAAAATTCGGCCCGATTAAATTCGACTCAATCCGATAACAACATTTTGAGACGTTTTCCGAGATGGAGTCGGCAGAATTGACCAGACCGACGCTAACCGGCTGGCGTTGGCTGCGTTTCCTCTCCCTTGGACAACTGGGCCAGTTGTCGGCCTTCCGCTCTGCTGCCCTGCAGTTTAGAGCGTCGCACTGTCCTTAAGTCTGTCTGATTGTCCGTCCGCGAAAGCGTCCGTTCATCCGTCTGTTTTTCTATAGTTCGTCGAGCGTTCGAGTTCGCTGTCGATTCCCATTCTTCGTGAGCGGTGAGGGCTACAGCGACAGCAGGTAGAGCCCGGGAATTCCTCACATGGAGGCCAACGATCCTGCTGCAGTCTTGGGAGCAGCTTCTTTTCCATCGGCGTGTCTGTCCCTCGCCATCCCTCTGTGTCAATTGCTCCCCCTGTCCATTGTCCCCCCATTCCTGTGTCCATTGCTCGCACCGCCCTCCGTCTGTCCGTCCGACGTCGATCTATGCGTCCCCGTTCGTCGTCGCCCATGCCGAGGCATCGCTCGAACCAGTGCAACGAAGGCGGCGCAACGGCGGCGGCAAAACCACCGCCGGCTGCAGAGAAAGGGGCGTCTCACTCGATGGTGCCGGCGTGTTATTCTGTCCTCCTCTTCCATCGTCAGCTTGACAGCTTGCATATAGAGTGAAGTGAGCCCACCCGCCCGCTCACTTGCTCGCTTTTCAGCCATGCTGCCGCTTTCTGGCTGGTCGCTGGGTCGACCGGCGGGAATCAGCGCGTGCCTGCTCGCTGGTGCGCGGGCGTGTGCGTCCCGTCGAGGAGACGCACACGCAGAAGAAAGCGGAGGACGAAATTGAGGGAATTGTGAAAGACCGACCTTCGTAGGCGCCCCTCTTCCCCCTCTCTACATTTCCACGTCGTCGTTCCGTATGAACGCGAGAAAACGCGCTCGAGGACGTGCTGTGTATGCGGTTCGATCCGGCAAACAAGCCCAGCCGCCATCGGGGGAATCGGCACCGACCGCAAATATCTATCTTCCGTCTCTCTCTCCGGCGTCTGCATTCCAACATCGAGAGCGGTCGTTGGCCTTTCACAGTACGGTGGAGGATATTTGACAACTCATCGGTCACCCTGAAAACACAAATTTAGTCGCGGCTCGAATTCTAAGGAGAGAGGATGAGAGACGGGTGAGAAGAGGGAGGGAGCTTGCGTTATCGATGCGGAGAACGTGATACAGGAGCAGTAGACACTTTACCGTCTCGTGCGGCACGTAGCGTATTTTTCGGGTGATGACTTCCGCTCCGCAGTGGAGGCTTTCCGACATGCGTGATTTTCTCCAAAAAAAAATACATTTGATGTGAGGAACATGTGTATCTCTTCGATAGTCGATTTGACGGATGAGGTGCTCGCGGTGGATATCGGCGGTGAACTTGGGTCGGACTCTCGCCTCCTCTGCGTTTCCTCCCGATACGACTCTCTGTCAGTCGAGTGGGAGTCTGTCCGTCCGTTCGCCTTGGTCCGATCTGCTTGACGGGCGGAGGAATGAGGACATCCGCAAAGGTCTTTTCACGCACGGGGACGGCGCCCTCATTGGAGGAGGAGGCTTTTTCTCGCCCCTTGTGATTGTTTGTTCCTGTCTGTGTGTCTGCTCCGTCCCTCTGACAATTCGGAGGCAGGACGGAAAGAGACTCGAGCAGTTCTCTCAACTTGGAAGCAACCCGAACCGTCCCCCCTCCTCCTCCCACCACCAGTCTCAAGGATGAACGGACAGACAGAGCACACAACTGGGAGAGGAAATAGGTTTCGGTCGACGGACAGTATCTGGATACGCGCCACGGACAAGGGGGAAAAAAGAGTCGCAACCTCAATCCTTGGGAAAACGGTTAACCACACTGACGGTATAGCCCAGTCACGGCAACAGAAGAGCGACGGAATTTATTTTATACCCTGATCGTTAGTCGCTAATTAGTTTCCGCATCCTGAAGCAACCGATCCTTCTCCGCGTTTCGCAGGACCCAACTAGCGGGGCGGTGCTTCTACGAGTTGTTGACATTGATGAATCTGCCGTCGCGCTTTCGGTCGGCCGTAACATCCGCTGATGTGACCAAAGCGCTCACGAACAGTGTTTCCTCGACTCGATCCGCTACCACCTCCCACGGTGACGAGTAACAGCTTTACCGAGCAAACGCATCTACGTGTTTGTGTCCTGCATCAGGAGAATTGGACACTGAAAACGAGCTGTACAACCCCGGCTATGGCTCGCCGCTCGCCCTGTTCGCCGCTTTTCCCGTGGGCTCGACTTCTGAGGTTCGTGTGAGGATGCCCTCCGAACCTCAAGCGGCTTCTCTTGAGGGTCATTGACGGCCAAGCATCCAAGCAGCCGACCGACCGAGCGTACCGTCGAATGTCCAGGCCCACGGCTTGGCGCCCTGTGCAGCACTCAAACTTCTGCGGTTCGGAATGGCTCAACGAGGGGTACTTTTTCTGCTGCGGACCGGAATTGGCTCTCGTCAACAAATAGAAATCCCTTCTGCCGGCTCCCTCCGGTCTTCTGCCGAGGCTCCGAGTATATCTGAATGCTCGATTTAGACCTGGACGGTCGGCACTCTGGGTCGAGGAAGAAGCCGGAGCGAGCTCCGGATGTGGGCTCGGAGCTGGATTGATCTACGAGAACTCGGATCCGGACGTTTGCTCTCCGGACGAATGTGTTTTTGACCTTTTTGTCGATTCTTCCGAAGCCCCTGCCCGTCGCGCCGCTTCCCCAGGTGTGCGAGGACGAACAACTCCTCTCAAGGCTCCTCGTCTCCTCGATCTCCAGAGGAGCTCTTCGGCTCGTTGAGACATCATTCGGAGACCTCATTGGTGATCGCGAAGTCAAGTCCGCGCTTGGTGAGGTTGCAGAAGACTTGTTCCCACTCGATTGTCTCCAAGAGGAGTCAGGAGCGAGCCACAGCGATCAAGCTCTGGGGGGGGGCGGCCATGGGGCGACGGGAGGAAGACCATGGGTATTGACGGCAGGAAACACAAAAACACAAAGTGGAAAAGAGCTCAAAACTCTGATTGCTTTTGTGTGCTTTGCTGACGGACGATGGAGAAGACAATGTGTTGGTCGGTCACTCGGCTAGCCGTTGAGGAGAGTCGTTGGCCCAGAAAAGGACTTTCCGCGGCGCAGCAGAAAGCATTTGAGCTCACCTTCTTCTCCGAGGGCTCGAAAAGTCTGAAGAGCTATGCACAATATTCGGAATTCAATCGCTCCGAATTTGTCGCTCTCTGAATACCTAGGCCCTAGAAACCAATGATTCAATGAAGTTATCCGATTCACGATCGATGTGAGACGTTTCAAGCCCAATGAAACATCTCCCGGGGTGCGCTCCCCCTCAAAGGTCTAGAACTGCTTGGTCCGGAACCCGGAATGAGATACTGGTGATGGAGAGATCCGAATTCAGGTGGGGCAGAACACCAGACTCGGTCTGGAGCAATATGGAAACCGAGAGCGAGGACATTATTCAGGATGTGAAGGTCCTCGGAGATGCGTGCCGTTTCGCTTGAAGGGTTCTTGATGAGAGATGTCTGGAAGACTGACTTGTGAGTGTAGGCTCCTCATTCTCTCGTACCTCGCTGCTGGCCTTTCCCCTGAGCCCCGGTCCCCTTCCCCCAACCGCTCATGGTGTGTCGACGGAGCGCGCAGAAATTCCTCCTTTTGCCCCCTCCGACCGTATACCGTTGTTATCTCACCTCGTCTCATTTCGAGAGCCCGGGAGGATAGCGAGTGCCGCAGGAATGGAAAAAATTAAAAACGGCCAAACGTCGAGCAGTCCGCAAATTGAATGAGTTGAACGAGCTCTGGACGCAGACGCGGGGGATCTTCCGACGACAAGACGGGGCAAGGGAACAATACGATAGCCTGAGAGGAAGCCTCAATGCTAAAAGTGGCGAAACGGAGGGATGTCGGTTTGATAGGGAGCCTTCGCTAGTATCTCGCCCAGTGGAAAGCCGTAGGGCCGAGCTCAGATTTTTCCGGAACTCTACTCCCGCCTGGAACATGTGAGAGTACCGTCTCCTCCACTGGTTCCTGAGTGATATCCTCTCGACAAGGTCATAATGACGTCAAATCCATTTGAATTGCGATTTGCACTCCGTTCCCCGTCTGTACTTGGTCTGCCACCAATGTTTCAACATCCGAATGAGCAAGACAGCGTTTCCGGTTGGCTGAAGCAGATGTGAGGGAGAAGAAGATGGTTCCAAGCAGAAAGAGCCCATTTTAAATGGTACCGTCCCGTTTTCTTAGGAGACGGCTTGACCTCCACACTGAGGCTCTCAAAGGCTTGCCCAACACGTCTTGCCGCCATCGGCTACCCACGGTTCCCGATGACCGACCCGGCGCTCGCGCCTATGCGTTTCCTTCATTTTCGCCCCTCCCCGCCTCGCGAGTTTGCTCTGTTTCTCCTCCGCTAATTTACAATGTGCATTGGACGCATGCGCTTGACGTCAATCCGAGTAGCCCTGCTCCGCCGTACCTCTCGTTTTTCGGGGCTGTGGAACCCCCTAACCGCTTATCGAAAAGCTCTCCCCTCCCATATTCCCAGGCGATACCGAACGAGAAGCAGCTCCTACCCCTTTCAATTTTCTCATGAAATTCCGAAGCATGAGGTTGAGGGGCAGAGACACTCTGCAGCTCGACGGAACGAGATTTGAGCTTCCACCTCTCCACACCAAAGGTCTCGAGCAAGGAAACTCGAGCTCCCCAAGAGATAGTCGCACATCTTCCGAAATTCGATTTCGGCCTCATTCTTGCACGGGAGTGTTGGGCG